GCAGAGTGAAAATGCCAAAGATGGTTATGTTAAAGACAATGTTCAGTCCCTACTTTCAGTCTCGAAATCATTAGGAATCTAATTTAATAAGACCGAGCCCAGCAGGTCGGAGGGTTTCTATCCATAGGGCTGGGGTTTTTCCTCTGCATTACCGCAGCGAGCGCGGCGAGGTTTTTTCATCCTATGGATGCTCATTGGTACCCTCTTAGTTTTTCGCCTCCAGTGAGCACACGATAGCAAATAAAGTTGTGTTTTTATGATCTGTTTTGGCGTTATTGCTGTTGCGCACGGCTGGAATATGTGGAGAGTATTTAGACGAGAGTTAAAATGAATCTTGGTTGATAAGTGATCTTCCTTGGTTCATTTTGATCCATGTCAAGTAGATTTTAGTTTTCTTTTATGACTTTTAATTAAGTGACCGAGGGCGGACAATTTCTTATATTGAAGGGCTATTGTCAGTGGCTGAGCAATTTCTAGTAATAATTTATCCTTGAAGTGTTTAGCAATATACATTGGGCCGCGTCCACGCTACGCCGGAGGAATTTGAAAACGGAGGTTTCACTCTGAGGAAAACGCATCAAATGTTTTCCGTCCACACTACGCAGCAATCGCCGGTCATCTTGGATTTGTGATTCAGCAAAACTCGATCATGGAATTCATCTGATTATCGTGTCGAAAAATTCCGTTTTTAAAATTTTTCCATCCGCATGAAAACGAAAAGCCGGCGTTTTCAAATTCCTCCGGTTTGAAGAACGTTTACGAAAACTGGCTCCATTTTCGTGCCCGATTACCGTAGACGGTAGGCGTAACCGTAGGGAAAAAGCTGCGTTTTCAAATTTCTCCAGCATAGTGTGGACCCGCTGACGCAGCGACCTAAGGAGAAGCACATTGAACTCGTTATTGAGCAGGGGTATCAGCTGACAAATCACTAGAGCCTCTTTCGTAAGGGAATATTCTTAGCCTGCCTAGCAAACGTTGCTGCATTTTGGTAGGCAGAGAAACTGGGGGGAGGGCCGAAGAAGAAGGGTTACGGTTTCACGCGGCCATAATGTGGACAACACAAGTTCGTACGGCCATTTGCTACATAGACTAACTACTTCAAAATAGGCACCCAAAAGAAAAATAGTTATCATCACTATGACAAAAAAGATAAAGTTCGTTATGATGAGGTTAACGAGCTACTGTTCTTTATCACAATATCATAAAATATTGGCCTGATATTAATTTCCACTGGATGCAGCGCCTTGGACGTTTACAACATAAAAACGAATTCTTAAACCTGAGGAAATTACTCATACAGTTAAAATTTTGGCAAAAAAGAAGTTGACATTGCAGGGATATATTTAAGCCTATAATTCAACTTTGGTGCCAGTATGTATAAAACGTAATGAAATTTTAACATTAACTGTGTTCCAATATATCGCTTCTAGAATAAGCTAACCCAACCGGAAAACTGGCGATCTAAATGCTCAATCAATACTCATTTCTTGCGGTTGGTTTAGCAGCTGCTAATTTTACATGTTTCATGACACTAATTTGATTGATCTTCGATAATTTAATATTTGAAAAAGCAGAACAGCATGTCCAATTTAATGTTAAAGCAATTGTCTTGGTGCATGTTAAGTGTTTCCGGACTCTCCAAGTCCTCCTAATCTTTAGTTAAGGACCTTCATATTGTCTAAAACACCGGCAGAGCTACCGTAAATGCGAAGCCTGTACTCTAAGCTACAACTATGGAAGCTATTTTTTGGATCATGCTGTTACTTGTTGTGGCTTCTAAAGTTGAACTTGTTGGTTCTCAAGGATTAAAAAACCGTAAAGGTAGGTTGTTTTTTAATTCTTTGTTCGCTCTGGATATTTATTTTAAAATTGCGGTCTGCTCAAGATCAGTCATTTTAACGCAGCGGTGTTAAAACTTTTAACGTCTTGTTGACGCAAAGATTTGAGAAACCACTTTTAACGACAAAAGGAGCTTCAGTCGTCGGAAACAAAAAAGATGCAATATAGTCAAGTCAGGGTCAGAAAGTTTTAATCCCGAAATGTTCATGTTACATTGAAAAAATTCACGTTAACTTAATCCTATCGATGATCTTTAAATTAAACTATTCCCACTCGTTTTGAAGAGCTAAGAATGTTTCGTTCACGAAAAGGTTTTTAAAAGTGAAGTGCTAGAATATCAAAAGATTCTTATCAGGGATTAAGAGAACGATACCCGGTTCCCTTTAGAAGAGTTTGCTGTATTTGAACCAAAGCGAATGATACGCGGCAACGATTTTCACTGTGCGTGAGATAACAACATGGCATTTTCATGTAATATTTAGAAATTTACAAAACACAAGGAAGATCTTATGGAAGATGCAAAGTTACAAAATTTTCTATTATGCTTCCACTTTAGAAAACTCATTAGGGTTTTAATAAGCCACTTAAAATCGAGTTGTGTGAACGTTAAGTATATATGATCACTGTACATGTAAACCTGAATAGACTATCTGTTGAGCGGAACTGCCCGCAAAGGGAAATATCAGTTGCACCTTGTTAAAATATTGTTGCTTCGAATAATTTTCACACTATATTATCAGTCACTGATTTGGAACAATTCGCGCTAAAACTGCGCTATATATTTTCTCTATTCAAATAATGTACTAAAATATCTAAGTAAACTTATTTCAATAAAAGCGATTAATAAAAACATATTCGCCAAGTTGAGCCACACTTGGTCTGAGAAACAAATGTCGTTTCTACTAAAATCGAAGGAATCCGATAATGTTACAACACCTTATTATCTAATTTACGCTCTATTATCTGTCAAGTGGTCGCTTAAGGGAGGTTAAAAATAAATGAAAATTTCAAACGTTTAGTTCTAAAAGTGGTCATGGTCGCTAACGAGAGGTGGTCGCTTACAAGAGGTTCCAAATATGGTGATTTGACTCGGAAACCTTTAGTATTTTGGAAAACTGGTCTCTGATCATGCATGAGGAGAGGTGGTCGCTTGCGAAATGGTCGCAACCGGAGGTTCGACTGTATCTTTAAATAGCAAAGTGTAACTGAGATTGCATTGACGCAGTAGCTGATTCGGTAAAATTACTGAGAAACCCTTTTCTTGTCCCGTGTAAGTATTAATTGCTTGTCAGGTTGAACGTAAAAAGATTGTTATTCCAAGCTTCAATTTATTTCTCGATTTTCGTCGTAAACAATTCATGCGGTATGTTGTGGAACTTGTAATTTTACTTGAAATAGGCTAACTTTACTCCATTTCTACAGTCTGTTCTCAACCGCTAGGAATGGAGAGCCACCGAATCCCGGACACAGCAATAACAGCTTCTTCTGAGCGAATCTATTATCTCCGAGCATCGCAGGGCAGACTGCACATGCGCTCTTTCTTTCCTTGGTTACCAGCAGGCTGGTCAGCGGCTGTCTCTAACAGAAAGCAGTGGCTTGAGATCAACCTGGCTGTGAAAACAAGAGTGACAGGAATCGCCACACAAGGACTGAGCAGCAGGTGGTCACCTGACCAATGGGTTACTAGTTACCAGGTTTCTTATAAAGATGAAGTTAGCAACCAGCGGACGTTTTATGGGCAACGAGGGCAGGTGAAGGTATTTGACAGATGTGAATAAACAAACGAGTTTTCCTCGGAGGTTGAATAAATCGGTTCTGATGAAGGAGCTGAATTTCTAAATGTCTTTTGTTAAATCTAACCCTTACATAGATCCTAAGCGTTAAAATAAGCCGTGATGAGGACGTCTGTAATATTCAACTTTAACCCTGAACACATCCATGCTCGTCTTTAACATCAACTGTACGAGTGCTTCAACTATTGCGTACGGCATTGTTAAGGAACATGACATGACTCCACGTGATTGGATTGGACTCCCACGTGATGTGTGATTGTGACACGCCCGCCTTGAACACTCAAGCCAGTTCTCATCCTGATTTGCAATGATATTTAGGGAGTCTTAATTCCTAGCTGATAGTAATCTCCAGAATTTCAAAGTAACCAGAAGTTTATTTGCCGGTATGAACACTTCCAAGAAACAACACTGATTCTCCGTCTCATTAAAGAACTAACCCTTGACCCTGGTCAATTACTTCCAAAAGTGTGACGCTGATCCTTAGAATAAATTTCAATGCTGGTTATATTAACGCATTTAGGTATTTCTTGGCAACACGAATGCGGACACTGTCGTTATGAACCAGGTTGACCCCGCTTTTGTAGCTGTTCATGTCAGACTTCATCCTCAAACGTGGCACCGTTGGATCTCTATGAGAGTGGAGCTGTTTGGCTGCCCAGGTAAACCTTGTCATAATTTGACTGGCAACAGTTTGCAGCACTTTTCCAACAGCTATACTTTGACGGATCATTCCTACGACTCTTTATTAAGTGATAATAAATAATAGAAAATAGTAAATCTTATTTATAGTGGTCGTGCACTTAGCTATACAAGCACTAAGCTTAGCTAGTTTATAGACATGCCACTGAAACAAAGGTAACAAATATTTCAAATAAACGTTCACATGTGAAGGGGGTTCAGAGCCATCTTAAATTATCCAAAATAAAAAACGTCGCAAACTATCGAAGATTTTTTGCGAGTGTATCTGAGCAACGTTCCTCGCTATATCTAATAGAAACACTTCCTTTCTCTCAATTACGGGACATTCCTTTTCCTTGACATAAAACTGTCTCTCTTTCGAAGCTAACTCTTCCCCAGTCTCCTCGTGTTTTCTGGCTGTTGGTCTGGAAGACAAACGGATACCTGACTTGGCTTTCTCAGCGTCATCGACTCTAACTCGAGCACACTCTCCATCACGTGCTCGACTCCACATTCAAGTAAGAAACCAGCAGGCGGCAGGCTGGACTCCAAGACTAGACGACCGCACACCATGGTTACAAGTAGTCCTGGGAACGAAGATGATAATAGCTGGAATTGGGACCCAGGGCGGACGCTACTTCTGGTGGTCTATGGGTGGCTGGGTTCTTAAGTTCAAAGTGTCCTTTAAGATCAGCGGTGAAGGGTGGCAAATTTATGGAAAGAATACTTTAGAGGAGGTACGTAAAGTACAGCTAGGGTTAATTTTATCGTAAAAACTCGATAAATTAGAACTGTCCAGCTGCGAGGGATTTGTCGCGTTGGCTTATCCGAATTAACAAAGAGATCCCATGTCGCCGTGCGTCTGTTCAGTAATAGATCTCAGATGACGTCAAAATGTTGTAAGAACATCAGTGACATACTCGGCTACTGCCTCGTGCGCCACATTTTTGTTCTTACGACATTTTGACGTCACCTGAGATCTATCACTGAACAGACGCACGACAACATGGAATCTACTTGTTTTAGAATATGCAACGTCTTCGAGATAAAAATGGAACATTTCAAATATACAGTTTTTCTTTTTCAATAACAGTTATTAACTTACTTTTGATAATACAGGAGCTGGTTGGTAACAGTGATGTCAACTCGCTCGTGATCAACAAATTTTCTCAACCGTTCGTAGCTCGCTTTGTTCGCATCTATCCCATCTCACAGACAACATTTGGGTATTTAAGACTGGAATTTTACGGCTGCACAGGTAAGCCAAATGGTGTTTTAATATCAACTAAGCGCTAAGTAAGTAAGTTGTATCAGGCAAAATGCCGTTTAATACTGCAACAATTCCACTACAGCTAAAACGGCAGCAATAACGAAAATATCACACCGCGCTTTTTAAAAGTCAACCCAAAACTACGTTAATTTTGAGACTAGTCTCTTCAACATGACAATATTTTGACAACTTTATATCTCATTGATGAAGTCGGAAGAATCAAAGTTTCAATGGACGAAGATCCCTGTCTGTATATAGGTATGCCACTGCAAATCCCTTTTTTTTTCTTTTCTCAAACGTTAATAATTTTGCTATGTTTTTATTTACTTTTATTACAAGCAGGTAAAGATGACTGTTCTAGTTCCCCATGTAAAAACAATGCCACGTGCACAGATCACGTGAACAGTTATAGCTGTATCTGCGTAACCGGATTTACTGGAAAGACTTGTGAAACAGGTTTGACAAATAATTATTTCAACATCTGAGTACCAGATCAGACTATGTGTATCTTTTGCAATGGGACGTTCATGTCTGTAAGATTACATTTGCACCACATTGCGCTTTGGATAGTACATTAACGAAACTTCATTACAAATTTTTCATTAGAAATCGACGAATGTTCAAGTTCACCTTGTCAAAACAGCGGATCATGCCGCGACCACTTGAATGGATACAGCTGTTTATGCCGCACAGGTTTTACGGGGAGGAACTGTGAATCAGGTTTGTTCGAGCTATCCTCCGCAAGTCAGCAATGATCTTGCATAGTAATTATAAACGACTCTTTTATTCGACCACGACGTCGAAATTTCAGCGAGTCGAGAATCAAAATATTAGAATCGACAGTTTGGTGAAAAAACAAACGTGACTGATAGGGTGAGAGTACCTTAAGAAACAGTCGAATCTTTCAAAATTTTGGAAAATCTGACCACTGGCCCCATCCTTTTACAATGTAACAAAATTAATTACTGATTGTTTATCATGTGGCAGATATCGATGAATGTTCCAGTTCTCCTTGTCAGAACAGTGGATCATGTGTTGATCGCGTGAATGGCTTTAGTTGCGCGTGCTCCTCGGGATTCACTGGGAAGACCTGTGAAACAGGTTAGCAAAACTAGTTGCTCCCTAGCTAGGACCCTCGCCACTGACTCGATAACACCGCACGTTACTCAAAGTTCCTTCGTGAGAAGGAACTTTGAGTAACATTTAGAATCAGTTTGTATTATTCTTTAACTTTTTTAATGCTTTCAGCTCGAGATCCGAATAGTTTTTGGGCGTGATTAGTTTTAAATAACCTTCTTTTCTCATTTGCATTCAAACGTGAATGCGAGCAATTTCAGGTAGAAACTACAAAATTGCCGAAAATTACCTCATACATTTTGGATTATATTGTAAAGCAAATGAGAAAAGTTAACCGTGAAAAGGGCAAAAGCCAACATCCTTTCGCTTTGTAGTAAGTATCAACTAAATGAGAACTGTAAAGGGAAAAAAAACCACCAGAAAATAAGTTTCTCGGTAATTAGGGCAGTCAAACTGCTGCACTTCTTCGGAGGATTATGAAGATACTAAAAGTCGTTACAATGTACAGTGCATGTCATTGGATAAAAATGCGACGTGTTTACAACTTGACATAAAATGTTAAATTGTTAATCATATGATGCAAATCAAATGCTGCGGAGTACGTGAGTATGGGATACGCTTGCAGTTTTGATATCCTATCGGTTCCGAAAAAAAGTATCTTAACATACCTAGCTTATAACATACTTATTTATGACAATTGCAGCATTAAAACCACCCTGTAGGTGTGGTCGACGCACCACAAGACGCATAGTGGGAGGTCAGCGGGCACTACCAGGGGAATGGCCTTGGCAAGCCGGTCTTATGGTCAAGAACACAACTCGGATATACTGCGGCGGAGCGTTGATAAACAAGGAGTGGATAGTAACGGGAGCGCATTGCGTGACATATCGAAATGCTTCAACTTTGTTGGTGGTGCTTGGAGAATACGACGTCACAAGAAACGAGGGGATTGAAATTTTCCGGGAAGTTGATACTTTCTACATGCATCCCAATTACCATTTGCTGACGGCCGACTTCGACCTCGCCCTCGTTCGTTTCAAACCTGCTTTAAACCGGTTCAGCAGGTTTATATCTCCCGTTTGCTTGCCAACTGCTAATGTCAGCTTCCAAGCAGGAACCAACTGCACCGTGACTGGTTTTGGCCGGCTCGCTGAGGCTGGTAGCGTAGCAACAATGCTGCAACAGGCGGTTGTGCCAATCGTACCACGTGACACTTGTCAGGCTGCATACTCGCATTATAACATAACTCCTAGAATGATGTGCGCTGGTTACGTCACAGGAGGCATTGACGCCTGTCAGGGGGATAGTGGGGGACCTATGGTTTGTCGCAAAGATCAAAGACATTGGTACTTGGCTGGGGTTATCAGCTGGGGTTTGGGATGTGCTCGGCCGAACTCGTATGGGATTTATGCCAATGTAACACTGCTGGCATCATGGGTTCGATCAACGTTGATCAATTCTACCATTTGCACTCCTGGATTGTGACATAGGCTCATATACTGTCCTGCCTATAACTGTGCTGACCAAGTCTTAGGAAAAATCACTCTACTGTTACCACTTGACAAAGAGTTGATCAATTTTTGACAACGCTCTGATAACTTTCTGTTGGCTTTTGTTTGAATAGTCAATTTTAATTCAAGAACTACAAGTAGCAGAGCTGTCAAACTACGCATTCATGTTCTGGAAATAGTCTTTTCACGGTTAACTTTTTTCATTTGCATTACAATGTAATCCGAAGCAAGTACAAGGAAATTTCGGGAAAATGAGAAAAGTGAGCTGTGAAAGGAGCTTTTGACATCATCACCTTTCACAGTTCTTGAAATTGATTTCTTGGTTAAATGGAGCCATCAGTAAATTTTATGAACAGATGTCAAAAGTTGATCATTAAAGCTAATCATAGAAGGCAATAATTGGCTTTCATAATTAGATTTTATGATCAACTTTTGGAAACTACTTCAAAGTTTATTCAGCTTGTTGCATTTAAAAAAATACTCATTGGTCAGGAGTTAGTTTAGTTTAGTCAGGAGCCTATAACTAAGAGAGTCTATACGTACATGCAGTGAAGTGTGTGAGACATTATACCCAAATGGAGCTATATTTAGAACAGATTGGCTGAGAGTATTTTGCACCTCAACTTTTGTAACAAACAGTTACAACACTTTAAAGCACAAACTACAAATCTTTCTTGATCTTGCTGCATCTTTCAATAACATGAACTCTGTTCAATCTACAGTTTTGTGTTTTGCTGCTGTCAGTCATCTTAGCAGCCCTTTTAAGAAATAGAAGTCTACTTCAACTGGTTCAACAGATCACATCTGTGGGTTGTGATTGGTAGATTTTGATCCCTTTTGTTTCTTTCATTTTTTCCAAGTTCATTGGTTGTTGT